ATGAGGTAGACTCAGAGAATCAACACACTTCAGTTAACAGGCTCGCCAACTACAGATACCTTGTCACCCGTCGTTTCTTACTGAGTCAGTGATTTCATGACCACACACAGCTGTTCCATCACTTGTTTACATAGTCCAAACCATATTTGGGGCTTAAGTGAGATTTGTTATAAGACTTTTGGCCCAAGCTTGTTTACCTATTTTTATATGCCTTTATTTCATGAAATACAATTACTAGGTAATAAATATCTGGTCATTTATTGCCCTGATCAGAATTATTTTCTATTGGACAGGTTTTCTGATGGCTACTTGATAATATTTGCAAGCACATTATAAAATTTCCTTTTAGTTAAAAGTACATGTATCTGTTGTTGCAAAAAATACACTCTTAATCATTGTTTTTCTGGTATGTTGCCTTTTTAAAATTTTACTTAGCAGTTAAACACAAATCTGTCTACTTTATTCAACAGAATATGAGATGTGTTCTAATAACTTAGGATCACGAAGTTGCACCCCATAGTAATATTTAGAATTGCAGGAATAACTTAATTAGGCTGAAAAGTAGTTATTATAAACTGCGTTGAAACTGGCCATATTCATTATTAATTGAGTGATTAGGCAGATCAGTCGACACTTACTGGAAAAATTAAGGATAAGCGTATTTAGTAGATTTTAATATTTCTGTCATTGCTTTTATTTTACGGTTAACATTAAACAAGTGATTTATTACAAAGTCAGACTGTATTTGTCTTCTTATATTTGCCCTTTGTACTCTAAATTTTCAAGATATGGGAGTATCTGGGTGGCTCAGTTAGTTAAGCATCCAACTCTTGATCTCAGCTCAGGTCTTGATCTCAGGCTTGTGAGTTCAAGCCCCACATTGGGCTCCACGCTGAGCGTGGAGACTACTTAAAAAAAATAAAATTTCAAGGTATGTAATTTTTAGCTCGAGGAAAATAGGTATATTTGTACTATATCTGAACTTTAATTCTGCATATATTCTTGCAGCATATGAAGAAACTCTTCTACATAATTTTTTTTGTTTCTTTACAATATCAGAATATATAATTTCTAGCTTTCTATAAAAGAGTCTTCTAGGATTATTCAAGTGATTGTTTTCTCAGAATTTGTAAATTTAAACCTTATACATTCCATACAATACTGGTTTTATTTTCACATATACCAGTAGTCAGAATAATTGAAATTTAGTTATTAAAAACGAATAATACAAAGCCTTGCATTATTCTAAAATTATTCTTTAGTTAGTGCTTTATTTAAAGCTAATTATTTGTTAATTTATTAATTTTGCTTTTTATTTATTTTTTTAAACACTTTTTACATTACTTGTTAATTTTTTAAGTAGGCTCCACACCCAGTGTGGGGCTCAAACTCATGACCCTGAGATCAAGAATTGATGCTCAACCAGCTGAGCCAGCCAGGCACCCATTAATCTTGCTTTTTAAGGAGGCATTATAATATTGTACATTGGAAAGTGGTGATTTTCCCCTCATCCTAGCTGCTACTTTCACAGCTGTCTTCATGCTGAGATTTTTATAAAGTATAAAATTCTCTAAGTTTGGTTGTCCACAATAAAGTTTACTTCAATTTGACATCTATTTAGAGTTAATTTTTTGTGGTTAAGGCGTTATTTTTTGGACAGTGGACTGCCTAATCATTTTATATTAGGGAGCTCCAGCTTTGCTCCTATATTGTATTTGTATATTATTGATTTTTAGAAAATGGAATTTAGTGTTGAAACCAGCCCAGGTCTTGGCAAGGGCCTACGTTACAAAGATATAAAATGCATAGAGCTGGTTTTTAAGCATGTAAGCTCATATGCTTTGTGTATACTCGTATTTCAGTTTATTAAATGGTCTCTTGTCTTAAAGCGTGGATAGAGCTATTCTAAAAGAAGAGATTAAGCATTCCCTGCCAGCAGAATTCAGCTAGATGAATACTGAGAAACCTATTTGTGATCTTAGAAGTTTAAGAATTAAATATGAATAAACAAAGATCATCGTTCCTTAGTTGTCTATGTAAGTCTGGGCCAATATTTCTGTCTGACTTTAAGCATTCTGAGAAAGATCCCTGCTTTTATTCTGGGCAAGTTCTCTTCATTATGGTATGGAAGATTTACTTTGAATAGAAATGAAGGTGGATTGGAATTTGAATGGCTTTAAAATGTGTCTTTTTACTTATTATTTTACATTTTGAGAAGAAAATGAAGGTGGAGAAAAGAAAACTGCAGTTTTAATTTTTAGGTGGATTCTGTTTTAGGGGGATTACAGTCCTAGAAGGTATGGTATTGTAAATAATTTCCCACTGAGTCCCTCAAGTACCCTAGTACTTGAGGAAGTTGATGTCCGAGTCCTAGCCAGAAGGAAAGTTGGGAGAAGTCAGCTCCATGGTAGAACAGCGGTGCTGAAGATTGGCGGGATTACGAGCTACCCTTTCTCTCCTGCCTGCTTGCTCTGGTTCAAGCCAGCTGGAATGCACTCCTCCACGTCAGCAGATCAGAACCAGCCGGACAGAGTCCTTGTCTTTGAGAGGTTGCAAAGTGACAGAGAGCCATTCGTACCCCTGTTCTGGAGGCTCCCATGTGGGTACTCCCCGATACAGAGGGTTTTCATAGCCATTTTTGAACAAGGCAGAAGAAAAATTAAATGAATGAAATAAAATGTTTCACTTGAGGTATAAGAAAACGGCACTATATTAAAATGCTGTTTGAGTTCCAGACTGGGAGGTTTTGCCTTGGTCAGAAGTAATTACGAGGTGACACACAAAGGGAAATATCTATCACGGATCCTGTCCTTTGATCAGCATTCTTTTATCCCATGACTTCACTTTTCCCCCTACCCCAAATTCTCTCACTTTTATTTAGTACACAGCAGATGCTGTAGAGACAGGTTCCTGCCCCTGCACAGCCGTGATGGTCACTGTGGGGCCTGCAGCAGACGAGTACAAGACCACACGTACTTGGTACTAAGACCTATAAAATGTGAGGACCTCGGTGAGTTGTTGAGGCACGATGGGTTTTGTTGCCGATGGTCCTGTGACACCCTGTACCTTTCTTGCCAGCAGCAGCCTCTGGCAACTCCAGGGCCAACTTCACCCACAGTGTAGGCTCAGAAGACACCATTCGTTGCCTGGCAGTCTTGTTGCAATGAGTACAGCCTGAGGAAGGGATGAATGATGAATATTACCACATCTTTGCAACAAGAAAGAGCCTGTCACATAAACATGTGCAGATTGGTGAGGGAAATACGAGAGAGCCTGTAAAGGTGTTTCTCAAAGCTGGGGGGGAGAGAGTCGTTAAGGTCCAGGAGTGGAGACAGCTGATGGCTGTGGTTTGCAGGGAGCCCACCTCTGGGGCGTGTGGCTTTTAGCTCTACAGCCCGGAAGCTGCTTTGTCAGTAACTGAGAGGTGATCAGGCTCTTCCCCACTCCCAAAACTTATTTTGTCCTTTATAAATATGACTACCAGTCCTTTACTTTATGGGAGATAACTTGCACAAATGGATGGGGAGCTTGTGTGAATGGGTTGGCAGATTCTCATCGTACAGGAGAGCTCTGTGCAGAAAACAAACTGAAAATACATCATGGCTTGGCAAGGATGGACTTCTAAAGCAGCGGTACTGAATGAGAAAACATTAGAGATGGGTGACCTTAAGCGCTGATGCTCCTGGAGCCAGATACGTCCACCTGAAAACCAACTAAAGAGCACCAGAACCACCTTGGATATCCGGTACACCGGCTTTTCGCCTGCACATCCACCTTCTGAGCCCCACGCTGACCGTCGATGTCATCATGGTGGTGGTAGCTCCTGGTTTTGCCACCACCTCAGTCTCAATTGGAAAGAGCAATAAGTGGTGTATAGGGAGGTTCAACAGTAGTTCTCATTTACATAGACGGTATGGATCTTTGTCTTTGAGTGAATGATTAAAGGACTGAACAGAGGAATATTGTTGAATATTCCTAATTTGGAAGCTCTGAGTTTTGATTTTGAGAAGGATGCTTTTTCTTGGTATGATAGGAAAACCTAATAAACAAGACATCTGTGTGGGCTCAGGCATCCACAGTTTCTCTATAAGCCTAGTTAGGGCAAGACAGAAACTCAGAGGGAGAATTATTTTACTTCTAACAAAAATGGAATACACATGGGAGGAAGAGTTCCTTTTCTAATCACCATAACTTTACAAATGGAAACAGAGAGGTTATTACACTTGGATCAATCAGTGATCGTGGCACTGATCTTGGGGAGGGTGGCAAAGTGTGTTGACAGGTAAGATGTGCTTTAAGGTAAAACGGTACACGGTATGTATTAACAAATTAGAGCTGGTTGACGATGTTTTATTGTTTGTGACATTTTTGCCCAAAGGACAGATAAATGAAAAATCAAAAATTGTATTTAACTAAAGTTAGTATAATCGTCTGTCAGTCACATTTACAGATGTTACATATGTTTTCAAATACGGTCAGTGGACAGGCTGGTTCTCTGCAAACTGGATCAAATTCAAAATACGTGTAATTATTTTACACTCTGAGGCAAGGCTGTCCTTCTTGAAGGAAAACAATCAGATGTTTGTGAGAGGGTACGTTTTTTACATCAAAAGTAGACACGATCCTTTTACCTTTAAAGCTGACTTGAGGTTATTCTAGAAGAAAAGTTTATTTGTTAGAGTGAAGAAATATTTCGATGTACAGACACTTTGGGGCATTTACTATTAATCTAAAAGCGGCTAAAAGATAATGTTCACCTCCAGCTGGAATCCTTTTACTACTACTAAGCTACGCTCATTAAACCAGGTGAGCATGCACGGCTCTGTTTCAGAGGTCATTCCAAAGTCCTGATAGGTGATTGAAATGTTGGGCAGAATCTGCCTAATAATCCCAGCCCATGTCACCCCCAGGGAGGACTGATGCATAAGTAAACATGTGCATGAACCGCGAGCTGGTACCTTTTCATGCTAAATGTGGTTCCCCACGTCTCCTCTGATTAGAGGTGTGCTCTGAACAGGCCGAGACGGGGCCATGCCGAGCAATGATCTCCCGCTGGTACTTTGATGTGACCGAAGGGAAGTGCGCCCCGTTCTTTTACGGCGGATGTGGCGGCAACCGAAACAACTTTGACACAGAGGAGTACTGCATGGCCGTGTGTGGCAGCGTCAGTAAGTGGACCTTCCTCGAGCCTGGCCACCTTTCGTCTTTCTCGCCACTGACTCCGCTCTCTGTAACAGACTGGTTTTCCTGGTCCTTGGGAACGGGTCTGTTGCTACCACTAACCACGTTTTCTGTCCACTTCTCTAATTGCCCGGCGTCTCCTCCCATCTGTTCCCCCCTGAGCACACACCTCTGTCTTTCTCTAATAAAGCATGGCCCTGGATGTGTTCTTCTTCTAGCTGTGGTGCATTCGTCTTGCAGTCTCTAGGGACTTCTTTTGAGTGCCTCTCTTTAAGCCAAGCTGGAGTCGCTGTTTTGTCTTCTCAGCTATTTTCTGCAAATGTCTATGTGTGTGTGTGTCTGTGCATCTTTGTGTTCGGGTCTGTGCATGAGCAGTACGTGTGCAAACAAGGCTTACCCACCAGAAGCCTGGCTGATGCAGCTTCGGTTGCCCTGGCAAGGCGGATTGTTGTGATGAGTAATAACCTTTAAGTTATTTTGTAACATGTGACTTTGATTGTGGTGGCAGAGAGTGTGATTGAATTGAGCATATGCACTTCAAATGTCGGAGGATAGAAAGGCCCCAGTGGCCTCTGAGCTCTCACTGGGCCGGTTGCAATATTGATTTTTAGTGTCTTCTCTTGGAAGCAGAAGAATACTCTTCACTTAACGTTAGAAACCTTGAATGACAAGAGACTCGGGGAGTATAATTTTCAAAGCCTTTTCTCTCGAACCTTCAGCTCTTCATAACTCTGGGGAATAAATAAATAAAGTGACAGTGACTCAAAAGTAAGATGAAACTTTTTCCACAGAGGTAGCACTCAGGAGGTAGTGAACCAGACAAAGGGGACTTCTCTTCTTGTCAACAGCCTTCCATATGAAAGTCCCAATTTTATTTATTTACTATTGTTCATGAGTAGGAGATTTGAACTACTCAAGAAATAATTACTCAGCTTGAGAAATTAAGATTAAATTCAGTATGTATGTGTTTGTAACTGTGCAACTCTCCTTTTTGAGAGACTCCTGCCTTTTCTCCCTTGCTCTTGTGAGGGTGACAGCTACCATTTCCTGCCTGGGATTCCTAAGGATTATATAAATTGTTTTCCGCTGTGATCATGGGCTTACACTAAACAACAAAAGGACCTGCACCCATTAAGACCTTCTATTGTGAAGCCCAGTATCTAAGTGGAATCTAATGGAACAGTTCCTGTTGGTCTGGGTGAGGGATGACTCCATTTCTATCATGTGTGAGAACAGGTGTAGGAATTGGTAACCCCAAGGGCTTCTTTTCTGGCTGCCATTGGATGATGGTAGCATCTAGCTCAAAAGACTCCTGTTTCAAATAAGTTAATTAGGTCAGGTAACGTGGAACACAATGGGGGATTCTGTTGCCTGGAGCCTCTTGAACAAAGGACTTTTGTTACAGAGATTCTAAGTGGCTTAGCTGCTGAGGGAGATTTCTTGGCCAATTTCCAACTTTTTTTCTCCATTTCCCTGAGGTGGATTTATTTTTTGGAATATAAATTGTGTGTGCGTGTGCATGCACGCATGCACACGTAATAAGAAAGAGGGTGTTTAAGAATTATTGACAGTGAGGAATTTGCCTCGAGTTAGAAATTATTCCCCCGCCCCCCAAAACACTACTACTGCCCGTACACACACCGTCTCCACTTCATCAGTCTGATTTGACTCAGTCTGGGAGCGAGCTGTGGGCACCACAGGTCAGGAGATGCCCTGGATGGCATGCCTTTTGCTGAGAGGTTTACCAAAGGTAGAGACTCCCAACAAAGGTGTAATGGATCAGCCAGGCAGTCCATATTTAGTTTCAGAAGGGGAGGTAGGTTATAGAATAATGTATCAAGAAAGCAAACGCAAGAGGCTGAAGGTCAGAAGAGTGGGCAGATCTAAGTGGACAGTAAAACTCAACACGTGGCCCGAGCTATGAGCTGGAGGTGCCCTATGAATGGATGATCGGAGTGGCTCCTTGGGAATTGGCAACGCTTGGCACTAAGGAGGGAGAATGGGAGCAGGAAATTCTCCACAGGTTACTTGGAAGTGCTGTTGGAGACCAAATACCCAGCACTCTAAGGTATTACTGTGGAAATAGATCTCTCATGTTTATGTTTACTTTGGTTCCCTGCTGGGGCCCAGCCTCAGGGTATTTGTTTAGTTTTGTTTTTCATTCAGTGTTTTTGTTTTTGTTTTTGTTTTTCCCTTTGGTCAGTGGAATCATGTAAGTTTCAACCATCATTCCCATGTTTCTATTTTTGTTTTTAGTTATGTTCTCTTATTTTCTCCATAGTGTCCCAAAGTTTACTCAAGACCACCCAGGAACCTCTTCCCAAAGATGCTGTTAAACGTACGTTGTCATTCACTGGAGGGGGCTGGGGGGGAGGACATAATACAGTGCACGGCTGGATTATAACTCCAGCATCATCACCTTCTTTGCATGGTTTTGTGTGTCTCCATCACCTGTCTTTCAATAAAATGTTTATTTCCGTTGCTTTGCTTTGTAATTATGTCCAGTTTTGCCAGACAACTTCAGATGCCAGGCTAAGAGCATTGACTAAACTTCTATTTCTGATCTTTTTTTTTTTCAATTTAATGTGGTTCTATTATGTATCGTATATATAATATTACTGTGTTTTAGTTGGCATCACTGTTTTATTTCCTAAAGCTGTCAAGATGCCACAGTTTAACGAGAGGCCACATATGTGTAAGTGACTCGTATCCCAGAAAAATACATAATATGCATGCATTGTACTAACTCCATAGACTAATGTGTATGCACAGGCTTCAGCTGTGTGTTGTTAAGACACACGTGAAGCCTTAGGAAGTGAAAGAGCACCTCTAGATTTCCTAACCACCTCTTCTTCCTCTCCCTGAATGCACACTCCTGGGACAGAAGTGCCCGACTTCGGGTTTTATCATAAGGTTGTAGAAGAAGATTCATCTGAAGAAATCTTGCATCAACCAATCTTAGAATGTCTTTGTTTTGTGATGATTCCACTTGGCGTTATCAGTCTAGCTTGGTTTTAAAATGTGGTGTTAAACACACAAATATTTATTTTAAAATGTGGATTATATCCAAAAATAGATTAATGCATTGTTAGGTTAGGGGTGACACACACACACACACACACACACACACACACACACACGCTATTGAAGCTTATAGTTGTTGGAAAAAGAGATACATTTTCAGTTGTAGTTCAGGTATATAATGAAAATTAGCATTTATTTATCTTATCCTAAAAAAAAAAAAAAAAAACTGGTCTCCAAATCGATCTTTCTAAAAAAAAAAATAAGTGGAACCTGGGTGGCTCAGTTGGTTGAGTGTCCCGACTTTTGATTTCTGCTCAGGTCATGACCTCATGAGTCGTGAGATTGAGCCTCATGCTGGGCTCCACACTCAGCAAGCAGCATGCTTCTCTCCTTTTCCCTCCACCTCTGCTCTGTGCATGTGCACGTGCTCACACTCTCTCTCTCTCTAAAATAAAAAAATCTTGGGGGCGCCTGGGTAGCACAGTCAATTAAGCATCTGCTTTCGGCTCAAGTCATGATCCCAGGGTCCTGGGATCAAGCCCCGCATCGGGCTCCCTGCTCAGCATAGAGTCTACTTCTCCTTCTCCCTCTCCCTCTGCCCCTGCTCCTGTTCTCTCTCTCTCTCTCAAATAAATAAATAAAATCTTTAAAATAAATAAATCTTTAAAAAAATCTTTAAAAGATAAATAAAATTTAAAAAGATAAATAATAGAGAATTATGTAATTTACAAACAATTTCATCACCAACCATAGTTTTTTTTAATGGCCACCATAAGATTCAAATTCATTCACTTTATATATAACTTTTGAAGGATGTGGGGGGTTTATTACTACAATCAACGTATTTCCCGTGATCGTGACAAAGCATTTTTTTTCTAACAACATCAAAAGTATGACAAGTGAGTAGACATAGAGGACCAGAGAAAACTGGGTATTACACTGTAGGATTAATAATATATTGATCTTCGTGGCAGGCTGCAGTTTACCAGCCATTTTCACGGATCATTTATTTTTCTCAGGAGCACTTTGTGGGAATTTTCTTCATATCCTTTATACGTAGGAGAAAATGAGGCCATGAGAGCCGTCAAACGTGTCAGGACCAGCTTTGAAACATAAATGATATTGTGGCTATGCACTGCACTCCACACAGCCAAGGATTTGATTCTGTTTTTTAGGTTAGAAAACTTACATTTAAAGTTCAGAGTGCATTTTAAGAATATAGAAAATAGAAAGAAGAAGAAAACTAAAAACTTTTTTTCTAAATGCAGTGAATATGGCATGCCTCAATAAATATCTTTTCCCCCCTTTATAAAAAAAAATTCATTTTATATCATTTTAACATGTAAAAGAATTATATTTTTCCATTCTTACTAATTAACGGAAATGAGCATTATTTGATAAATTTATTTTCATGAGGGGCTCGGGTGGCTCAGTTGAGTAAGTGTCTGACTCTTGATTTCAGCTGAGGTTGTGATCTCACTGTTGTGAGATCGAGCCCCACATTGGGCTCTGTGCTCTCTCTCCCTCTGCCCGCACATGCGTGTGCTCGCTCTCTCTCAAATAAATAAAATCTTTAAGAAATATATAAATTTGGGCGCCTGGGTGGCTCAGTTGGTTAAGCGACTGCCTTGGGCTCAGGTCATGATCCTGGAGTCCCGGGATCGGGTCCCGCATCAGGCTCCCTGCTCTGCGGGGAGTCTGCTTCTCCCTCTGACCCTCCCCCCTCTCATGCTCTATCTCATTCTCTCTCTCAAATAAATAAATAAAATCTTTAAAAAAAGAAAAGAAATATATAAATTTCTTTTTTATCTTCGTGAAGTTCTTGTGTCCTCAGCTCTCCCAAAGATACCTTGAAAATCTCATAATTTTCTCTTCTGCAGTAATATTCTCCCACTACTTGTAGTGTATTTGGGATCATGACACCTTTCCATGACACGCAGGAGGGTGAAGTAATTTTGGCAGCTCTATTTTCTTGTCTACCTACAGAGACTATTCATCACAACAAGTGTAGGGTTCTTCAGTGCTAGTACAAACAGACTAGAGAAAGCATATAATTTCTAGTTATTTATAGCCTGTGCAGCAATGCTATCTTATTTTTAGCAAAGTTACACGTTTGAATTAAAGAAGTCACATCATCTGGAGGTCAAATGCAGATAGCAGAATGTAGTCAGAGAAGTGAGCCCAACAAGAAGGTGAACAAGCCCATTTGATTTGGCAAGCTGGGCTTGCATGTGGCTCTTTCACGAACCTAGGGTTTCACTGGAAGGTCTGTCTTCACCAAAGTGGTTGATTTTATGGGTTTCTCAGTTTGAGTTGCTTCTAGTCAAATAATAAATATGAATGGGATAGAAAAAGCTCCGCAGTTAAACTACTGTTAACATTGCACATGTGGAGAAAATCTGTGATGGTGTACGTTATAAATACAATCATTTTCCTGTAAAAACATATTATAATCTTATTTCTGGATTTTAAATCCTTGTCATAAAAACCAATTTTAATTATTGCAATTTGAAGGAACACTGATTTGTTATTGTTGTTGTTGTTGTAGATAAGAATCTAAACCACAGATAAAAAAGAGAGAAATAGGCTAAGAGCTTTCATTTTACTCATAAACTTGTGGATTTGAAAGCTTTATAAAATATTTTTCCTGTTTAAGAATAAAGTATCTGATGAGACCAGAGTTGTTTCTGACATTAATTTGGTGTCTGCCCATTTGTGTTTGTGAGCAACAATTAATCTTAGATTATTAATAGGTAAATATTTATTGATTAGTTTATGTTTCAAATATGAGAGAATGATTTTTTTTCCTAGCATTCTCCCTATCAGATTGCATCTCAAAAGGCAAACCGACTGACTCCTTAATGGCATTTAATGTGACACAGAGCATCATGCCAGGATTTAGTCAGCTGACTGCACCAAAGGGTCTGGCCAAAGAGAACAACAAATGACCCATTTTTGGCTCTCTTGTAGCGAGTTGTGACACAGACAATACCTAAACCAAGGCCTCTCAACCTTGACACCACTGAAGTCTGGGACTAAATGGTTCATTCTTGCAGTTGCTGTCCTATGTATGGAGGATGTTTAGCATCTTCTCTAGTTTCTACCCACAAGATACCACCCCAACTATGATAACTTCAGCTGTCTCCAGACTTCGCCACATTGTGTCCCGAGGCAGGGAGGGGCAAAATCATCCCTTCCCCCCGCCCCCCAGCTGTTGAGAGTCTCTGATCTAGACTAGGTAAGCCCACATCTGATTCAAAGATATAACTAGGCTGGTGTAAACAAGCAGACTTCCCGTGAACTTGAGGGCCTGTGGATGTGTTGAATGTCAGAAGCCTGTAGTTCTTGACAGATGTTAATGAATTTGTTAGACCACCATCCTAGCTCTCAGTGTGTACGAGGTAAGGTAGAAATTGCTGTGCTGAATGTAGGGTAGTTAGAGGCCTCATAGTCTTTCTACTCTAATATGAGCACTACTAGGGAAACAAACTAAACCAGCAAACCCCTGGGTTGGAAGTACATGGTTCCCCCAGGCACCACCCCCCTCCTCCTCTGTCTGTTTCACAGAATCCCAGCATATGCTAGAGAACGGCCATCTGTAGCGATGCCACATGGCCTTGCCACACAGATCCCTTGGCATCTAGGGTGTACCTTGGGATCATGTTTATGGCCTTAGGGTCTCTGCAAAGGCTAGATCTGGCCTCATGCAGGATCCAGAAGGGGAAAAGATTGTTTTTTACTCATATCACAATGGTCGAGATAGAACAGACTAATGCACTTCCAGAGAATATCAAAATAATGAGGACATACCAAATCAGGCCAAATCACCATCCCCAAGTTCTAAGGCCACTGCCTGAGAGGCTCATAATTTGCAAACTCACTGTGCAGCCTTTGAATGGAATGTGCCACCTTCACCCCAGAGTTGTTATATCCTGTTTCTAACACCCGGGCATTCAGTCTTTGGCCAGACTTGAACCATTGTTCTCAATCACACTGCACTTGTTCTTCTGATTGCGAAATAGCAAATATTAGTTCCCATTAGCACATTCTTGAATACAAATGGAAGTATGATATTTTTATAAGACTGCCAAGCATTATTAATAGTAATTAAAATCATTAAAAAGATGGGGGAGTGCATTAAATTACATGTCACATCAGTGGCAGTAAAATCTGTTAGACTGACACTTAGTAGAAGCCACATCTTTGGTATCGAGAATGATCAGAATGAAAATGGCTTTTTCCTCCAAGCTATCATAGGGACAAATCCCTAAAATGGACAGGAATTGATTTGCTCAGCAAACCAGCATTAAAAAAAAAAGACTCATTTATTCAGAACAATAAAAAATGCTCATTATATATGTGCTCTGTTCTTCAGCTATTTCCAAAGAAGTGTAAGTAGATAGTTTAATAAAAGGTTTGGCGAAAATTTTCCATAAAAGACCAGAGAGTGGATATTTTAGGTTTTGCGGGCCGTATGGTCTGTTACACATACTCAACTTGGAATCATAGCGTGAAAGCAGCTACAGACAATAGGTAAACAAATACAGCTATGCTCAAAAAATATATATAGATACATTTACCAAAAGAAGACCAGTATGTCAGCCTCTGATTTAATAAAGCTATCACTTCTGAGCTCAGGATGTGCTGGTGCTAAGCTGGGTATTTGGGACA